AATAATACATAGCAAATACAATGTATCGATCTCTTTCAGATAAATATCTATCCACAAAATTGCATCAACTTCAATAACACTTAATAAACAACATAAAAATAATAACAAAATTAAATAACAACAGATTTTTTTTTTTTTTTTTTTTTTATGTGGATAGCTATAATTCTTATTTAAGTTGCATTTGATACAAACTTATATTATTATGTGACATAAATAGTATCATTTATTTCATCAACACTTTAACAAAAACACTATATTAAGAGCGACATTAAATATCAAAATACCAAACATCATCTTAATATCGAACACATCAATCAATAACCTAGTAAGTGGAAGAATAAAGATAGACTTACAAACACTTCTCATAAACTTCTCTCACAAATGCTGACGTGGCAGCTCGAAATTGGTCAACTAGCATTTGGGCAGACGGAACCCATTGTTGGGCAAGCAGGTCCCATTGCGAGCTCACCAATCATGAGTTGACATATCACGTTTGTGAGAGAAATTTAGTGAGAATGGTTTGTGAGTGTAGTATTAATGTAAGAGGAAACTATCTGCTCCAAGGAGTATAGAAGAGTCTCATGAACTATCACAGGTTTATGAGGATTTTGAATGGAATATATCTCTAAGGTTTATACCACCTACAAAGAGGTATATAGGGGAGTCTAGACGATTTTGTCTATAGATCTGGTATAATAATGCCATGTACTGAAGGTTTATGTTAGAGGATTGGATACTCTGATCAATCTTCTTAGTATCAGAGCCTTGCATAATGGACATTGAAGCAAAAGCCTAGATATGTCATCAACTTAGAGAATACTAATATGTCATCGACGTAGACCATGCAAATCTGATGTAGGTCTTCAAAGATTTCATCTATCATCTTTTGGAAGATTTTAGGTGCATTCTTAAGCCCATTGCGGGGCCTCAGCACACCCTCAAAGTAGTATGAATAAAGGCAAAAAAATAATGTGAAGTTGCAAGATGACATTCAACTTTGCATAGCTACCAAGTGTCACAAGACTAGAGTTTCCACGTAGCCAAACAGCCTGTGCGACACCCCAACATCAAACTTGAGAGTGGATAAGCCTACACGTACCTATTCATCGGCTCAAGGTTTACTAGTTTTGTTTTGCCATGGACTCATTAGGGAAGCGATTCTAGCTCCCACCTAGTGTGTACATGGATGGTCTAATCCCTTTTTCATCATCGACTATGAAGAACAACTTCTAATGGCTCCTACACTCCCTTTTTACAGTACACCTCCCTCCTGAAAAGTCTTATGAAGCATCACTAATGTGTCAAGAGGAAACACACCTAACGTCTCTACTATCACACCCCACGTGAATGTTTCGCAAAACCTTCAACCTCGTAGACTCTCCATACTTATTGCTGTCGTCACGACGTTGTGGAATAAGGTCGTGACACAAGAGAGGCACCTTTGGAGTTCTCAGCCATGAGCCAAAAGTGAGATAACGCGCTTGTTGTTAGTAAAAAAAGTAACATTTAATATCATACTTTAGGCTATATGGTGGGGTTGTCCACCGAACACCATGCACTGGGGTGTGTCAACTAAAGTAGTATTTATTTTTTTATTTTTCCAAGAAAATACTATTTGAGATGGACTCAAACAAGTTTAAAGTCCAAACGAGAAGTCCATTTGAGTCTTGGATATCATAAGACCTTTACTCACTACTCTTACAGAGGAAAACTGAGTTTGAAGGTATCCAAATAGTCTTTATAATTCCAAAAGCGTCTCCACTTAGGAGGGGCCCTCAACTTGTTAATAAGACTCCAATTTTTATTTCCAATAGAGTAAACAACATATTCCCACCTAAGGTTTGACAAAATCCCAAGTTGGTACCCCTGGTTACATTAATTCCAGATTCCGACCCTTAAAGTGACAGAAAGGTGTTTGATGTAACAAAAAGGGGTAAATTGGTCATCTTGCATGGATGGTGCACGTTAGTAGATCGTCGCCTCTAACAATCTACGTTAGCAAACGATGTTTCCGACGTTTTTCGCTTTTTTTCCAACAATTCTTCCACCCAAAATCACCCTTGTCACCACCATTTCAACCCCTATCCTCTTCTCTACAAAACCTTACCCGTCCCCTCATCACTCGCTGATTGCCAACCATAGTAGCCACGACACGTGACTGGTTTTTGCCAGTTTTCGACCGTTTTAAACTACGGCAACCCCAACCACCACCACCATTTGACTCCTCGCATCCTCCCCTACAAAACCCCTAACCTTCCTAGCCACGACAGCTCACCGTTTTTCGTCCACCACTTCACCAAAAACAGTCGATGAACACAAACTGGGGTTGTAGGGGTTTTATAGAGTTGGAGACGCTGGTTGCAATGGTGTCCAATTGGATTTTCACCACCGGAATCTGATAAAGAATGGAGAAACCCTAAGCCTAACGGCACCAGTGATTGGAGGGGCCAATTAGTCAGGAACCAAAGGGGTTTTGGACGAAAAACTACGGGGAAGGTGATGGAGGTGACCAGGGGGTTCGTCGTCATCGGAAATAGCCCAGATCAGGCAAAACTCAAAAGGGTGTGCAGTGACTGAGGGTGTTATTGAGATAATTTGAAAATAAAATGGTAAGTTTTATAATTCTACTAATTTAGGGGTTAAAACATAATTTATTAATTTAGGGTTAAGTGCATTATGGTAATTGCACCCTCTATACCCTAAAAATTGCTATCAGTATTATTTTAAGGGTGGGAATCTGGAATAAATGTAAGGTGGGGTACCAACTGGGATTTCGTCAAACCTTGGGTGGGAATATGTCGTTTACTCTTTCCAATATTCCATTATCCTTTTGATTTAGAGATCTATGTGTTAGTGGTCCAGAATTCTTAGCTATACGAGTTCCGGTGAACTGATCTACAAATCGTAGAGATCTTATAGAAGGAAAATTGAACAAACATTGAGGATTAAAGAGATTCCGCCATTGTCTCTAGTCTAATCACTTAGATTTTGGTATAAAGCCTAGAAACCTAATCTTGAGTGCAATTGGGACAAAGAGACGATTTTGTCTGTAGATCCGGTATAACGATGCCACATACTAATGGTCTATGTGAGAGGATTGGATAATCTGACCGATCTTCTTCGACCCTTCAATAAGTACATTTTAAGAATTTAATTATTTTTCTATATTTTTATAAATAAATATACAAACATGATATTGTATTAATATTAAGGGTGTGTTTAGTTGGGAGGTATTTGACATTATTCTTTTTTTTTTTTTCGGTAATTGGGGTGTCCGGGCCAACTTATGTAAACTTCAACTAATCCCCGGAGTCCATTGAATACCCTACAAACCCAATGAATCGGGTAAGACACAATTACGTATTGAGATATGTGGCCCCAAGGTTTGAACCTAGGAAGCCAAGGAAGAGAGCATACCTCCTTGACCACCAGGCCAACNTTTTTGGGGGGGGGGGGTAATTGGGGTGTCCGAGCCAACTTACGTAAACCTCAACTAATCTTCGGGATCTATTGAATACCCTACAAACCCAATAAACCGAGTAAGACACAATTACGTATTGAGATAGGTGACCCTAAGGTTTGAACCTAGGAAGCCAAGGAAGGGAGCACACCTCCTTGACCACCAGGCCAACTCCTTGAGGTTTTATATTAATTACATTATCATGTTTGGTTTTATATTACTTATATTATCATGTTTGGTTTTATATTACTTACATTATCATGTTTGGTTGTTAAGTAATATAAGATTCTGGTAATCTTTCAATACCAATAATAATCACTACTAGTTATATAGGTAGTAATCTGAATACCACATTTTCTTAGGTAGCTTAGAGATTACTTGGTAATCTTATTTTTATTACAATTATACCCCTTATTAATAAAATTTTAGGACAATATTGCCCTTGTTATCTAAACAATTTACAAGAAATTTCATGGACAATTTTAACCTTATATACAAGATTTTTAAGATATTATTGTCCTTGTACTTCAACCAAATTACCCAAGATCACAGCTAGATCTGGCCACTATTGCCGACCACCATTGTCGGCCACGTCTGACAGTCACTAGAATGATATACGACAGGTTGGACCTAGCCAACAATGCATCGATCTGGCTGTTTTCAATCAGATCAATGATCGAAAACGGCAACTGGTTGTAAATTCGCACAATCGGCTTGGATCTGGCTAGTAGTGCGCTATTTTGGCGACTGCTGACAGTGATGGCCGGCAATCGACAATGACTTAGGTGGGTAGGGGTGATTTTGTTAAAATTTAAACTTTTATTATGGTTAGGGTGTTTTAGCAAAATCTCAAATGTAGAGAGCTAAAAAAGTTCCATTAATAATAATAATAGTAATAATATTTAAAAAGTAAGAAAAATTTAGTAATCTATATATCATACCCATCAATTTATTCTTGACTATCAAACATATCAATATAACATACCCACTAATTTATTTTAATCCAACCTAACACATCTACCATCAATTTATTCTAATAAAACAGAACAAATTTAATATAAAATTTTATTATAATAATATATAATATTTCCCTTTAAACTTCGGTCCCATATCCAACGGGAACAAAAGAGGGGAAACAAATAAAACACAAAAAAAGAAAGCGTATCACATCACGCCTGAATGAAGCAGATGCGTTCGACAGACTACGCATAGAAATAATGTCAATCCTTAAGCCTTTATATTTTTAATCTAACCAAACAAAACACAATTCCCCATTCTCAGCTGCTTTATTATTTTTCTACGGTAACCAATTCCTGTCTCCTTTTCTTTTAATTATCCTTCAAATATTCATCTTTAGTTTCAAGAATACGATTGATTGATGTTTATAAATTCTCTTACTTTTATTGTTTGAATGCTGTAATTATCATTCTTTTATGATGTTTGCCTTTTCGTTGTATTTAGAATTCTTATTTCGTCTGTTTCTGAACAAACCCAGAAACTGGGATGAACATGAATCAATAGAAATTTACCTTCCAAGTTTACCCCTTTTAACATATATGTGGTTTGTTATTGCCTTTTTTGGAGTAGAAAATTCCACTAGCTAATTTGAATTTTAAATTTCTAAAGTTTCCAGGTTTTTTGGTTTTTGTTTTTTTGGTTTTTGTTTTTCATGTTAGGACTTGCAGAGAACACTATTATGTGCATAATTATTGTGTTGCAGCTAGACTATCTATGTTGTTGAAATTAACTTATGATTTAAGAAGATGCCCTTTCCTTGTTCCTTCATTATTGTCATATTCTTTTTGTAATTGTTTTAGGATGTACCTCACTCTTGTTTATGTTTGTTTAGTGTCATGAATGAGGTGTCCATTAGACAATATGTAAGATGGGCATTCTTGCGCTTTCCAGAAAAATGATGGTCTAATCTTGGGGGAAGTCTTACCTGCCATGCTTATTTGAGAATGAGAGATGGGGAAGTATAATTGTGATGACATAGGCTATGATAAACCCGATGGATGGTTAAAGCATTTGAGGAGCTGGGGAAACATCCATTACTCGTTTCAATTTGATAATATTTTCTTTGAGATGTTTGTTGGATGAATTCCTATTTTCCATTTGTGCTAATTATGCAAGGTTTGTAATTTTTGTAGCATTAACTCGAAAAAAAATGGGAGGTGGAAAGGACAAGAATGAGAGTGAGACCACTGACAAAGGGCTGTTTTCACATCTTTCTGGGTATGCTGTTGGACACTACCCTCCACATGGATCATATCCGCCGCAGCAATATCCAGCACAAGGATATCCTCCTCAGGGATATCCCCCACATGGATATCCTGCGCAAGGGTACCCACCGGCTGGTTATCCTCCTCCTGGTGGATACCCGCCGGCTGGTTATCCTCCTCCCAGTGGATACCCGCCGGCTGGTTATCCTCCTCCCAGTGGATACCCACCAGCTGGTTATCCTCCTCCGGCCGGATACCCACCAGCTGGTTATCCTCCCCCAGGTGGATATCCTCCAGCCGGGTACCCTCCAGCTGGTTATCCCGGGCCATCAGCTCCTTATTATCCTGGTCCATCAGCTCCACATTATCCTGGTAAATTGATAAATTTGAAAAAGAACAACTTTGATATATGTTAGTATGAATTGATTGTCATGAATCTAAGTAATAACTGGTCTTTGTGGTCCTTGATTTCTTGGTTGATAAAGGTAAAAGACAAAAAGAGGCAATATTCCCCCTGCTTTTACCTTTTATCTTGTCTTTTATGTTCTATATAAACCATAATCAAAACACCTTTCCATTTTGAATTATATAAATCTAAAAACTTATTGTATTGGAAACTTTTTTTGCAGGAAGAATTGAACAAAAAAATAAAATAAATTGTTTTGCTTCTCTCTTAACTCGTAAGAAGAGTTAAAATGCTGTTAGTTTAATACTTGCAGTTTGTTCATCATAATTTTGGTCGACTAACAATAATTACAGGACATGGATCTGGTATGGGAGCATTGCTAGCTGGTGGCGCTGCTGCAGCAGCTGCCGCTTATGGGGCTCACCATTTGACCCATGGTGCTCATCATTTTGGGCACAGGCCCTTCTTTGGCCATGGTTATGGCAAATTCAAGCATGGCAAGTTTAAGCATGGGAAGTTTGGAAAGCGGTGGAAGCATGGCATGTTTGGGAAGCACAAAGGCTTTGGGTTCAAGAGATGGAAGTAATTATTCCAGCATGTTAAACTTTTCTATCTGATTTTACTAGTATTGGCTTTGTTACATATCTGTCCTAACTAATTTAGATTGGATTCAAGGTGTCTACTCATTCATAAACACATATTGCTTTTTAATATGATTTCCATATGTTAAATATGAATTGATTGGATCTCTTGTGTAAAAGGGTGGTGTTTTTTACCTCTTTGTTAATGAACTTGGTATTGTTGCAGGAGGAAAGTAGTCCCCTGTATAGAACTCCATTAACTTGTAAGAAAGTGAGACATTTTTTTTTAGTATATGAAAGCAAGTTTGACTGTATTCGGTTCCTTTTTTTTTTTTTTTTTCTTTTGTCCGAGTCTATTAGCCTCCATTACGACTCATAATATTCTGTCTACAAGCATATTTCAGACTGGCCAATTTACATGATGTGGGTGTTATTGATGACTGATTGAATCATGTACTGCTGGTTCCAATTATATTTATGGGTGTAGGTTTAGAATTCATATTTAAAATTAGGTTGCCGTCCACCCATTTCCAATTTAACAAGAATGAAAGTAAATTGAAAAAAATAACTAGTTAATATATAATATTTCCCTTCCCTCTTTGGTATTAATTCTCAGAATGTCTCTCCGTGAGGCCTTGGTTATTTAGGTAACACTTATAAAAGGGAGTCATATGTGGATTATTTAATTAAATAGACCAAACTTGGGAAGGGTAAACAAAATAATCATCTTTAATCCCTAAGCCAACCTTATTTAGACTCTTATGTTATCATCATTTATTTGACCATTTGAATAATGTTAGGTTTACAATCCAATTTCATAATCTTCTCTTACAACCCCCAACGTGGAAGTTCATCATTGGTCAGCTCGCAAAATGTGTCTAGTTTGTTTGTATGGGTTTCGCTTGCCTATTTGCGAGCTAACTAATGACGGACTGTCATGTCGGAGATTGTGAGAGAAGGTTGTGGACCTAGTATTATTGTAATTGATTAGGTATAGATGTCCGATGACATTTAATTTCTTAAAATATACTAAAATTTTATGGATTCATGAGTATGCTAACCCAACCTTATCTTTCCCATATTAAATGGGCTGGGTTTGGGTCAGGCCCATTGGTGAGTTTATTGGTATCTGAATTCCAAGACAATGTTGCAATGCTAAAATGAAAGTAATGGTATTATTTTATTGCATCATTCTAATTTTGTATTTTATTTCACTCTAAGCAATATTTGTTTGCTTGCCTACTAAGATGACAGCCCAGATTTGATTTGAACAAGACTTTGACTCATTATTATATTCAGGATTTTCATTTTTTTTTTTTTTTTTCTTTTCTTTTCAACTTGTCATATAGTATAAATATTGACTTGGAGGCAGATACACATTATCCACACAATGTTTTTATGGATTTATTTTATTTTCTCACATGTTAGATTGTTTACTATAAACTTAATCAAATACCCCTAAAAGCGGATTTTAACAATTTTGTAAAGAATAATTCATATTTTTAAAGGGGTTTTTAATATTTTTTATAAGTATAGGGGTATTTTAATAATTTTGTAAGGAGTGTTTAATATTTTTAAGGGGGTTTTAATATTTTTTAAACAAAATTAATGAGGTTTACTAAGTGATCCTATAGGATGTTTTTGGTTCATATAATATTTTATTATAGGGAATGTTATATTAATAGAAAGATAAATTACTTTAAAGATTATTGAGAATGTTTAGGAAAATGTGTTTGATTAGTTTGGAATAAATTGATGGGTATATTATATTGATATGTTTAATTGGAAAGTAAATAAGTGGATATGTTATATAGATTACTAAATTGTCCTCCTTTTAAAATATTAATATAATTTATTTTTATTATTTTTTTTTAATCATTTCCTTTAAACCCCTACATTTGAGATTTTGTTAAAACAACCCAGTTATATAAAACTTTAATTTGTATCAAAATCACCTTCACCTATCCTAAGCCACTGCCAGCCACCATCGTTAGCGCTGTAATGGCACACAACTGATGGGATATGGTCAGTTGTGCGCCGATAAGGCCGTTTCAAATCCATGGTCGGGAATGGGCAGATTTGGCTGTTTCTATAGTCGTGAAACAACAAAGATCTACCCGTGAAACAACCATAGAAACAGCTTTACTGGCGCACAACCGACCAAATCCACTAGTCGTGCGCCATTACGGCAGCTACGACCAGCAGGTGGTCTTGGGTGGCTTAAGGTTTTTTGTTAACTTTTAAACTTTTTTGTGGTTGGAGTGTTTTTGCTAAATTCTCAAATATAAAGGGTCTGGCTAATGGTTATTTGGCAAATATTTGAGAGTAATTGCGTTTGAAATAGCATTTAATTAAGGGTAAATAGGTATAAAAATCATATTACCTAGTAATATTTTAATAACACCCTCTGGAAGGTTATCTGATTACTCCATATATTACCAACAGTAAACAGGAAACCAACTATATTATGAACTAAAATTGGGGTTTATATTAATCCGTTTTTCAACCTCGAAAGGTTGTTTTAACTTGGGCTTTGAATTACATTCTCTCTTCCATTGATGGAAAATAGATTTCCCCTTTCACAGAATTAGCGTGACTATACAACTGTCATTTTCTTGCTTCTTCTGTTTACCTTGACATCCTATGCGAATTTCTTGTCATCATCTTCTGCGTGAGTCTTATTCTGTCGAGCTCATTTCTTCATAATAAATTAATAATGCAATTAACCATACATGAAAATGGGCTGGGTTTGGGTCAGGCCCATTAGTGAGTTAATTGGTATCTGAATTCCAAAATCAAAGTAATGGTATTATTTTATTGCATCATTCTGATTAGTTTTCTTAGTAGGTAAGCAAACAAAGCAAGTACACACTACAGACAAAGGTGACAGCCCAGATTTGATTTGAACAAGATTTTGACTCATTATTATATTCAGGATTTTCTTCTTTTTTTTTGCCTTTTCTTTTCAACTTGTCATATAGTAACTATTAACATTGACTTGATACACATTATCCACACAATGTTTTTATGGATTTATTTTATTTTCTCACATGTTAGATTGTTTACTATAAACTTAATCAAATACCCCTAAAAGCGGATTTTAACAATTTTGTAATAATATTTCATAAGTATAGGGGAATTTTAATAATTTTGTAAGGAGTGTTTAATATTTTTAAGGGGGTTTTAGTATTTTTTTTTTTTTTTTAAACAAAACTAATGAGGTTTACTAAGTGATCTAATAGGGGGAGAATAAAATAAACCCCTATTTTAAAATCAATAAATGAATATAAAGTGTAAAAAATGTATGTATGTTTTAATTGTAGAATAAATTTAATAGGGGTTATTTTAAGTCATTATTAATAATAAATAAATAAATGAAGAAAAATATTGTTGAATAAGATTGTGGTTGTTAAAAAGAATAAGTATTAGTATTAGTATTAGAGTAATACTATACCCATAATATTTTCTTATAAATTTTCTCTCACAATCCTGACGTGGTGGCTCTTAATTAATCAGTCGTAATTTATTATATATGATCTAGATAAGACTTATTACGAGTTGATAAATTATTAACTGTCATATCAAAATTATGAAATTTGTGAGAAGAGATTATAGGTATAACATTTCCTTACTAGTAATCCGAATACGTAGTGCATGTTCTGATGAGCCGAATAAGAGGGGCAGGGCCCCATTTGCACATGCAATTCCATCACTTTCCTCATTTTTCATTACAAATCTTTTTCTTAAAATAAAATAAAATAAAAAAAATAGAAATCAATCCCAACCTCCTAAATCCTTTGAATCAGGACTTGGTTGGAACAATAACTCAACAGTAAAAATAATGTAAAATAAAGAAATAATTATTAAATAAACCATTTCCTCTAATGGCAATAGAAGTCAACTATCAAACTCTGGTCTTTATCTTCTTTTCTAAGTCAAGCTTATTCTGCGGTTGGATTGGACCAAACCATTCAAAAAAATAGTTCAATTTTTAGATATGGAATATTGGTTTAATTTTGGGTTCAAACAAAGAAAAAGAGGGGCTTATAAGATGGAAAAGTCAACTTTTAGATATACTTAAAGAGAGAGGGGCTTTAATTGCGGCAATTAAATTTTTAAATAATAAATTATGCATTTCTCCAACCAATACAGAATTAGAGGTAGAGAAAGTGGGGTGCTTTGTTTCTTTTTCATAGAAAAGACAAAAGTCTTTTCTCATAAATTAAAGTAGATTCTCTTGCTTCCCCTTTACGATTTCTTAAGCAGGGATTGGATTCCGAATTCCGATTCCTCTGTTTTATATATTTATATAAAAGGAATTATATTTTTGTTAAAAATGGTTTTTTTTTTTTTTTTCAACAACACTTTATTACATGGTACAGTGAGTTTGAGTCATGGTAGCTTCTCCCTTAATCATTTGTTCTATAAAATTACTAGTTTAAACCCTAGTTGAAGAACCCAAATTCGAATGGTTGAACACTAAAAATTAAAAAACTAACAAACAATAAGAATAGAAAATCAATTATAACTAAAACCTAAAAATCTGAATTGGTTCTATAAGAAGAAAACACTAGAGCATTCGATTTCACCTAATTAACTCAATACAACTAATAAATCCTATCAATCTAATCCTATCTTCCTAACTAATGACCGAATTCCTTAAATTGTTCAACACTTCTTCTCATGCGATATTGCCCCACCATTTCCTATTAACCTTCCAAACTAATTATTGAAGTTGAATAGTTTTGGGTTCCTTAAGTTCTATGGAATTCTACCCTAAGTCACACAAATTGTGTTTATTTATCTTTAATTTTTGCTTAATCTATGATATTTATCACTAGAAGTTAATATTATAAATCACTTCTCAATCTCATTATGAACAACAAATCTAATTGAATAAACAACATTAAGAACAATAATAAACACTCAGTTAAAGAAAAATATGATATAAATTGAATTAAATCAAGAAAGTTGCATATTTGTAACTAGGCTACATCTTAGCCCTAGCAAGATAAAATTAGTTCATAATGTAAAAAACAATTGTATCCATAAACATCATGAAGAAGAAAACCGAAATAAGAATCTCCCAACTCCAAGAACTTCTAGCCGTCTCCAAGAAGTTATGAACCCCTAAAAAAAATCCTTTTTGTCTTCAATTTATAGTCCTCTTGTAGTCCCCAATCCAAGTAGACGTCTCATTAAATTTCTTGTGCGGTAGTCTTTGTTTGCTAGAATTCCAAAAGCTTCTTTGTCGTGGCAGGAATAATTCTTCGCCTTCAATTTCCACAGACTTCACGACCGCATCAACCATAAA